CCGTAAATGTAGTAAATCAAGGTTTCATATAATTTAAACTGATTGTTTTATGGGATTCTTTAATGAATAAAATTTCATCAATACATTGGTTTTTTGAAATGTTTCATATACCACCAAGTAGTCAGCTTACGGAATGAATATTACGAAAAAACCATGATTGAGGTTGACTTTTTTATGTCAAACATGAATAAATCAAGTGTAATTAATGCTTGCGATACTTTTTCTGTGAGGATTATTTCAGAACTGTGAATGAAAATAACTGAATCTTTAGACACTAGAAGCAATCGTAATAGTAATTATCAGAAGGGGTATTGTGAAGATTTAGTATTTTCATAGTTGAAAGCGTGAGTCAATTGAAGCTAGACCACCATGGAAAACCTGGATGGGTGCACACTTCTGAGGATTCCCATAATAGGACGAAATGGACATCCAGTGCTTCCAGGTTTTCCATGATGGTCTATCTTAATTGACTCACGCTTTCAACTATGAAAATCGTAATAGTATTTTGTTAGACGTTTTATCTTAAAATGTATAGGTGGGGAAAATATAAAACTTTATAAATCATTTTCTGAAAGGACTTATAATTTACTTTTGGTATTTTTATCTTATCCTAATCATGAACTTCTTTTTTGCTCATTAGCTGCTGCAGCATTCTTTCGCTCATAACTTTCTGTACAAAATGTGGTGCGTGATTGTCCATGTATCATAGTTTTGTATCATATGAGTCTAAATGTCTGAATAACATAGAATAATGCAAGATATTTAGCTAATCTTCATGAATTTCTAACTGGTAGATGGGCGAATGGGTGAGAATTCTGTGTGTGCAATCTATTGTTTTCGGATATTCCCTGTGTTATACGACTCTTAGTAAGTTAACATCATGAAAAAAATTATATCTATAATCTCAAAACAACTTTCTTGAATTTCCATACAGCTTTCATAGTAATGTCCTATTCTATACCAGAAACGAAATAAGTTCGCTTTCAGTTATTCTAGCACCATTTGACCTCTTATTAAATGATAGGTAATCTGTATTTTTCGTTCTGGTTCTTAAACTGCCTAATACTGCTCATTCACAGACCAAGCTGATTTTCTGAAGATTCACATAAGAACATTCTCATTAAATCCTAATGATTGAGATATTTAACTAAAATAAATCAATTGTCTTTTTCGGTATTAAGGCGAAATCTACTTCCAGTAATTGTGAAATATCACTAGATGTTTGTCAACTTTTAGTTAAAACTAAGTTCGAATGTATCAAGGATCCTTAACAAGTAAAGCAAACGAAAGGATGGCAGATGATAATTCAGTGATGCGTATAATTTAAAAATAAGAATCAAGCTTTTCCTTGCACTCAGTCTTATTCAAACATTCTTTTCTATGCTTTTACATAGCTAGTAATCCAAGAGTGTGTTTTCCTTCCATAAGACACTTAGTGCCTGAAGAAATTTTATACCAAAGATTCAATTTAACTATACAGTCAACTGAAAGTAGCTGAGCATTAGATCGTTATTTTTCTACTGATATCAGACCTGTCGATTACTAATTCTCAACTCAGTGATAAAAAGGTGAAGTATTCGCCGCAGAGCTTCAAGATCTTGAGTTTTGTACCCGAACAGATTTTCAGTGAGCACTGATGAGAAATCACATTTTAGAACCCAAATAGATGTTCAATGCTCTCTAGTTTTCAGTGGTTGTCTAGTTAAGGTCAATACCTATTATACATTATCGTCAAATTAATCAGCTTTCTATCCTGATATTATTTGATTTTAAGTGGAAAAATGAAGAATATGATTGCAAAGAAGAGAATTCTACTCAATGAACGCATTGATAAAGCCCTATATTACCAAATAAATAATGTAAAGTATCGAATGTAATGCACTTGCGTTCAGTCGGGGGTTAAAAATCCATTTCATAGTCAAGATGTATTCACGACATGTAGGCATTTACAAACAGGTAGTCGACTAATAACAATAAAATTACATTTACGTCATAATAAAGTGCCAATATTCTTAATCAATGTCATACTAACAATAAAAGTTGCACAAGTTTCTTTTGGATGCGTAATTTCAGCCTCAGTTTACCGATATCTAGTGTTTCAGCTGTACATAAATGCTTTATATTGATACTTCTAAAGCTGCTTGGTCTAGTTTTATGTGATACTGTGAAAATTCTATAAGAGAAAGTGGACTAATTCCAGGAAGTGATTTGTTATAATCTGAATATAATATATGGTGATTTTAAATGATCAATTTTATTTCTCCTTTGATTAAGTTAGCCCAATTCATTCTACAAATAACAGAGATGACTTTTAGACAATGAAGCAACTAATCAAAAATTTCTACATTTCTCTCCAAACTTTAAAAGCAAGATCAACAAAAATTTAATAAATAAATTCACAGGGAAGCATTTAAACCTTACTTCAAAAGTTGAGGTTTTGTTTCAATCAAGTAAAGTCAATCATGTTATATATCACACGAAATTTAAATTCAAAATCCACATGGCTACTATCTCTAAAAATACAAACTTAAAATCACCATTAATTTGTCAAAGGATTTTGTAAAATGTAGAATGAAGCTATTTTATTATCAACATTTATAGAATCCATTTTCGTTTATTGAAAGACAGACGTTATGGTAGATATTTGTAGCTATATAATACCTTTTAGATTAGAATTTCTATGATAAGAGTGTACTTTACTATTCTGTAAATTTATTTGAAAATGCAAAAAAAAACAATATTAACGATTGATACATATGACCTTGAAGTATTCGGTGGCGCAAATAATATGAAATTATAGTAAACAAATACTGTTCTATATTCATTTTAATGTAAATAACCCATTACTTTTTCGGTCAAAAAACGAATATCATATTCTTGTCTGCAAGTACAGGTAAGTACATACAATAGTAGGTATTTAAGCTTTTATTAATTGATAAAACGACGTAATATACGTCATAGGTTTTGTTAATACTTGATAATCATTGCCATAATATTGAAGTTAAATTAAGTAGCCTTTAATATCAGCGTGATTTTTAAAAACAAAATCCACTCAGTTTACATTTCTTTGTAAATGAAGTTTTATCAATAAGAGTTTAAATTTCTAGATAATGATGTAAAAAATGAAGTCAAAAACTAATAAAGTAATTATGAAAACAACTTCCGTTTTGTAGATTTAGGACAAGTTAAACAAGTACAAATGATAATAGATTAATTTCAGTTAAGTTTTGGGTGAACTTAAAGTGCGAACAGGAAGGGTTATTCAAACTCTAGATTGAAACAATAAATATTAATCGTAAGTTGTTACAATCAATAAATAGCAAGACGAACATAAGTAGTAAATAATTAGACAGTGCTACTAAATCCTTGGTATGTTATATGGTAAGCCCTTTGAGCAATACAAAATAGAATTTACTTATAAATGACTACAGCTCTGGTTTTGTACTTATTTGTGATTTCATTTCTAATAGTCATACACTGATTATCTTCAGATAAACGGAATGGTGAAGTGCTGTGAAATTTTCTTTAAAAAAATTTTGAACACTTTTATTTTAGTACTTTCAAATATGTTACTAGACCAACGTCTAAACACATATGAGAAACTCTAGTTTAACAAGTTCTTGTCTCGCTTATTTTTTCTCGGATCCAAATAAAAACTGTTGTGGTCAGATTGAAAAAAGAAATTTGCATGTATCAAGTAAAAATGTCAACATCAAGTTAGACTAAATCCGTCAAATGAACGGAATAGGTTAATTGATTGAAACTAAATGTAGGAGTGAGATTTAACCATTCCATCATGAAGAATAAATGAGTATTCAACCACTACATCATTCTTTTATCATCTAATTGCATGGTGTTCACGAACCAACCATGAAAACACTCATAAAAATTATGGATAGTTTCTTTTGTGGAGAAACATTCGGTGTCTTATATAATAAATACTTTTTTTTCTTCTTTTACAGTTGAGTTTGGTGTTGTTGCCTCAGTCACTATTTCTTGGTAGTATATGACATTAAACATGACAATAATAGTAATGTCAATAAAAATGTTAAACTGATTTTTGAGTATAGATCAAGAGCAGATTTCTGTCTTACGAATCACACCAAAGCACTTGTTTATGTTCCCCACTATTTGAAGGTAAATAATGAGGTATATGTGAGTTATTGATGGGAATTGTTCCAATTCCAATTTTGAACCCTCATTGTTTATCAGAGTATTTGGATTTACTACGATTGAGGTTCCGCTACTTCAGTTGATTAACTCTATTTTCAAGATTGTAGTCTAAGTGGTACAAATTTATTTTAGTACTGATATAAGGGATGTAGAGCAAAGATTAGAGTTACTGACTTATTATGTTTGGTGTGCGACACCCGAAAAAGATTAAACAATCTACATTTTATTGCTCAATTGCCAAGTTAATTAATTTGAACTTTAGAGATTCTTAAACTGTACTGAATGAAATATAATGATAGTGAATTAATCCATTAACAAAGAAACCTCTGTCATCTGAAACAGGATTCGCCATACTAACCAATAGTTGGCTATCATTTAATTAACAAGTTCCGAATTTTCCTTTCTAGTTTTAAATGATAAATTCATAACCAAATTATCAATAAAGCTTCATACTAGCAATGAACTCGTTTGTTACATTATAAGTTAATTTGTAATAACATCTAGATACATTGTGTTATGCTAATTAATATGTGCTGAATAATTGAATATTAGTGTAATGTTCAGGTCACAAATATAATATAGCATGGCGAAGTATAATATAATATTTGTATATATATATATATATATATATATATATATATATATATATATATATATAGCTTACATATATTCAAACGAACAGACAAATGTACAAATTTTCACTTCGGTCACATTTTCGTATTCATTCCCAACCTCAGAAGTCACTCGTTAAAATCTATAACATATTTGTTATGGTTCGAAAATATTTGAAAACAATGGATGTTTCGTATTTGTTTACATATGATTTTATGAAGTTCATCTGAGGGATGACTGTGTTTTCATTTTGTGTACTGGTTTCAATAAAGGCCATAACATTGGGTACTTTTACTATTAATTGTAGATGATTAGTGTTATGTTTCAGTCTAAGTCTAATGATCATTGATATATTAGAAAGGAGTGAACAGTCATCCAATATTACCATACATTTACCTACAATTGTCCGTAGTATCTATCTTTAAACTTATAAGCTCAGTAATTTTTTTTTGAATAGTAATGTGACTGATATAACATTATGATGAGTAACGCTTTTAAATTTATTTGAATCTCATAATAATCTAGCCTATGCTTAAGAGACAATAAATGATTACCTGTCTTGAAAGATTTGTATGTTTATGTATCCCGAAGTTCACCAGTTACAAAATGAATATTAATTACAGCATCGCAAGAAAATTGTAGATGTTGTTTTGAATATGTCAGTACTTCTTCAGAATAATGTTTTGACCTTATTAGAGGCGGAAATCATTTGTTACAGGTTGCAACTGAATGATCATAAATTCGTATTTATGAAGATCGGTTACACAGTCAGAAAAGTGAGGGAAAAGAAAGATAGATGAAGTACAAAAGCCAAAATAGACTAACATGTTAAAAAATAGGTTTTGCTAATTTCAGACGAACAGGTGAAACAAGTAAAGAAATACCTAGCAAATCATTTGCATTATTATCATCTTTCTTTGATTTTAATAAATCTTTGGTTCATGCACTACTTCTCTTTTTTTCTCGGTTCTCGCTCCACTTTAAAAAATTCCCGACTTCAAAAATGTGTACAGTCCTTTTGCACTCCTGTATAGAACCTTACTTAGAGATTAGAAACGAACTGGATGATGACTAGATATTACGATCACTTAAACTTCTCACGTCAACATTGATCAAAGCAAGCACAGACAATGATCCCACAAAACATGCAGTTAATAACCAGAGAAGCTGACTTGACCAAGTTTTATGGCTTTAAAATAACAGTTCACAAACATGAGTTTCGTATATCGAAATTACCTAATACTTATACATAAGTAACTTGAAATTAGATGCTACTTATTGCGCCTCTAAAAAATACTTGGTTATTTAATACTTACTTTCCGATGTCTACAAAATTCCGTGAACTGTTGATCATTTGATCCAGCCTAAAAGTTTCCTGGATCTTAGTGAGTTGATAATAAAAAAACCTTGACACATATAAAAACCCAATTTGACAGTTACTAATTTGTGCAACCCCTACAGCAAGAAGAACTTTATTCTTCTGCCTGTCAATTTCTTTTCTGTTGCTTTATGGTTATGAAACTTCGCAAACAAGATCACATAACAACTATAGATACTGACTTCTTTAAAACATTTTCCAAGTATGGTGAAACTGCTGAATCACTCATGACAAATTCAAACGTAAATTTATTTTACAAGCGTAGGCTGTTACATAGGAATTATGAATGGTTCTGTGTGAAACCATAAGTCACCTGAACGATATGTAGATGACATAAGAGCAGAAAGCTGTAGGCACCTGGAGAAAAGGTGATTTCAATCCATATAATTACGGACTGTTGGATGCAATCATCTTGTAAAGTACAGTTTTCCATTTTCTTTTTCGAGCCCTAGTTGTAATTTATGAATAAAAAGTTTGTGACTTGGCTCAAAATTAATTAAAGCAAACAAACGCATCCGCATGTGTGTTCTACTTCGCATACTATATGATTATTTCATGATCAATATTTCTGAAAATTATTAATTCATTCCAAATTTTGTTCCTCAAGTTTAATACTCTCCTTAGTTTTGTTATCAATATTTTGAGATACCTTGTTTTCACCTTGTTAAACTCCTCATCACCATACTGAAGCAAACTGTAGCCATTTGGAACAATGCACATCTTTTACGGACCGTAAGCTCTTTACGACCAACGAAGTGATAGGTAGTCATATTACTGCATATACGTAGCTAAAATCTAGAATACTATAGTATTAAGTTACTGTTTTGTCTTAAGAACAAACGTTCGACGTTGCAATGTCATCCTGCATACTAATGAAACCCAACTCAGAATAAACTTGATACTGCGTTTTAAGCTAACATACAAAAGGAGACCGTAAATCACAAACTCATCAATGACAATTTCACACCTTGGGGTTAGAAAGGACCATATCTGACGGTTTATGAAAAACGTTATTTTGTAGTATTTGAGTCAGGTAAAATAATGGTTACCTCCAACAGTTGTAACTCACAGTAGTAATTTCACCAGAACAGGATAAATTATGTATTGAATAGTCGTAAACCGATCGACAGGAACGTCACAAAAACTAAACACCTAAATTGTGAACACTTTTACTGCAAATGCCTGCAAACAACATTTGTGATCATCAGTTAATTAAGCCTTTGTAGATAAGAAGCAGTGTTAAATAAAACAAAATCTTACTGGGTTCTTTCCTTGAACATTTTGGGCTAACTATAGTGTTAAACTATGCTAAAGCAATAATACTAACTAAGGAACACGCAGCATAATCGTAATTTATCTTAGAAACAATATGGAAATGAACAGACTGGATTCCGTAAACTATGGCAGCTTATTATGCTTTGTCTCTGAGATAACTAAAACACATTGTAACAAAAACGTCAAGAGAAATGAGAAAAACTGGGTTTTTTAATTCGAAGGTGAATTCGTCAGTTATCGTAGATCTATCTCTAAAAGCTAGATAATTGACTCTGATGTGAACTGGTCAACTACTTAGCTAATGAAACAATGAGCGCTGGCACATACGTACACAACTCCATGTTGTTACCCCACAGCAGGAATAAAAGATGAAATAATTAAAATTAATAATCATGTAAAGGCAGTCAATTAAAGGATGGATTCATGAAACAAAGGTTATGAAATGGTTTTTATACTCGAATTTGTGACGAAGTGTGAGTGAATATGGGCAACTGAGACCTATTCTACGTGGCCTATATTAGCCAGCAATTGGATAGAACTAGAAAGGAATACCCAGGACAGAGTGGATTGGAGAATGCTGGTCGGCATCCTATATTCCACTGGGGGTAACAGACGTAAGTAAATAAGTAAGTAAGCCAACATCTCACGCGGACCCCTACCTCAACTACCAAAATAAATCATACAAAAAGTCAGTGCTTTTATGACTTGGTGTTACTTCTTTCTTTGACCAACCCTGTGTATTTGATATCTCAACCCCACTTCGGTCTACAAAAAACAAGACAATGAAGTTTGGGCTTATGTAACACATGTCAGACATACGATGTCAGACTTTCTAAAAAATGGATCTTAAGATAACCGATTCAAAGTTGGCTAGGGAGTCTATTTAGGTAATTGCAATGCCGAAGATTGATATTGTTTTATATTTAAACGTGACGTTTTTTGCATAACCCTGTAATGACTCTCAACCAAGTTTCACGTAGTTCACAAAATACAAGGTTTTCAAGTAACAATGTATCTACTGTTATGTTTCCCTTCTAAAAATTTATGAAAAAATGATTTTCATAGATGTTTTACATCAGACTGTCAACGACTTCTCATTTTATTCTAAATCTCCCACATGACATAAGTCTTGAAGATTTGTAAACTTGAGTGTGAAAGAAATCTGTCACAATCGTAAATTTTACAAACAAGTACATGATTTAAGTATGTTTTAATCACCAGGAATTTTTAAGGATTATTTGAAGGGGAATCAGTTTGATAGACGCTTTGAACGATGGGTTTAATCATCAATCAGTTTTTCGACTCAGCGGTACTAAAAGAAATTTATGGTCTACACAGTATATTTATGTATGATTTTATATTATCCATGTGAAATCTTATTTTAACAGTGAAAATCATGTGAACATAGATTAAAATTATACAGTATATCATCATCTACCATAATAAGTGACATAGTTTTCTATTCACTGAGACATTTTTGAATAATTTGGAGAAAATGATGTTTGTTTTGGCTAGTGGAACTTGTATGTTTCCCCGAATAAATATACGATGAATTAGGCAAATATGGCTAATAAAATACAATGTTAATATGAAGAACTACATGTAGCATTTATACTAATTAGTTGATTTATCAAGCAGAACGACGATTTTTCTTTGATCCTGAAAGGTATACCACCAGGTGTATGCAAAGTATAAATCCAGTAAGCGTACCGTACGTTATGCAAAGAGAAATCAGAGCATGAATCCAAGTATTATTTGGAGCTAGGGGAATTATAACATGATTTATTAGTGGAATTTTAATACCTGTGTCATAACGAATATACTTGGAAGGGTTCTTAAGTCCTTCTTCCAGCGTCACAGCGTATGTACAGAGAAGAAAGCTGGAAAATAATGCACATGCAGCAAACATCATTATTGGCAGGCCACTGGAACTCAAAGTCAATAAATAATTTTCTTTTGAAAAGCGACAAGTTTAATGGCCTAGTAGAGTACATTAAAACAGTGCATATAAACACTAAACTGGTTTTTTCCATAAAAGTTTTGTTACAGGTAATTTTTCAAACACTTTTATGTCTGTCGTTTTTAACCGTGTTTCCGAAATTTTCTTAGACAATACTTCTGATAGGACCAAATCCAAAATCTCTGTGTAGATTGCTTAAAACCAATCATGTAGGACATTGGTACGTACCATATCATAGAGCCTTTCTCTTGCAAATCATTACTAAGAGGCTTTAACGATTTTGGTGTAGAAGCCATTCAAACTGGACTAGACTTCCTCAGAAATAAGTGGTACATAACCTGAATGTTCACTATTTGGACTGTAGTACGTTGACGATTACCTTGACGCGCGCTTTTCGAACAAGAAGTTTAGTCCTAACGTGATTTACATTTCTCAAACTTTTGCTGTGTTCTTACGCAACAAAAGTACCATTTCCTATCTAAAGAATCTATTCTGAGCTATACGTTCGGTAGATTACTTCTTTTTTGTGTTTCACTCAAATTAATAGTTAACTGTGGTTTTGCCTCAGCTCACTATCGGTTTTTTTATAGTTTTCACGTAAAGGCTAGCTTTAGCTTATCGTTAACTGTTTTTATACATTTTTGCCAGTTTTTGTTTACTGTGTTTTTTTTAACGGTCCTAAATTTACTGCTTGTATTTTTAAAACAGTCTAAATCATTAGCCAAGAAAAATTCAAGCAGAAGACCTGCTTCCCGTTTCGCCGTCACATCTGGCATGCAATGTGACAACTGCAAAGGTCGGTTCCACGAAGCATGTACAGATCTAACAGCAGCAGCCTATAGCAGACTCAGCAAGTCTGATCGTAGGTGGGTATGTGTTACCTGTAACACTGATACGGTAGTTATGTTGGGTACCATTATTACTTTACTAAAAGGTCTGAGAGATAAGTTGTCTAAGAATTCGGCAAATGATAGCATCATGACGGGTAACAAAGCTGGAACGCATAGGGCAAACAAGAAAAAGGATATTGACAGGTCGGTTATCGATGGTGCTGTTAACAGCACGAGTGATGATGTGCTGAAACTCAGCACCATCTTAACATCGGCTGTCATCGACTCCCTCAGTAAACTTGGGTCCCCCGGGGAACGGTCCTTGAATGAGACAGTGGTTCCCAAAAATCCTGTAGGTGGATGGACTCACGTTAACAGGAGTAATAAAGCCCAAGCGTCCCCGCCGAAGCTGGACATCCCAAGTATCGTGCGGAAATCAATTGATGCTTTGGCCGCACAGTCTACACCCAAGACTGTCCGCCCGGTCATCACTGAGCCCAGGAATCGAAAACGCGCCTCGACATCCAAACAACAAGATACCAAACCTAGACGCTCTGGAAAACCTGGGAAATCAATTGCGGTTCGTGACGACTCTGTCATAATCATGAACCTTATTGACAACCCCGACCTTCCTCTCAGTTTGCAGGACAAAAACGATAGGATGCTCTGGGGAGAATTAATCAAGAGGCTTGAACTCCCTAGAATAGAGCCTTTGACCGTCACACGGCTCACTCGGGGGAAGGACTCTAACCACCTAAACCACCCGAGGCTGCTTCGTGTTGCACTTAAGAATGCCTCCGACGTAGAGGACGTCCTGCTAGCCAGTCACTTACTGAAGTCCGATGGGAACGTAAGAATACTGCCCGACATACCGTATTCTGAACGAAATCTCATCCGGAACATCCCTAAGGAATCTCGCGAGGCGTTTTTCCGTGGACGAAATATCATTGTGCAAGGTGTGCCGGAAAATATGGACCCAGCTCAAGCAAACTCTGATATTCGGGAATGTAAATTCATCAAGCATTCCTTAAAACTCAGGAACATATTGACCCAACAGGTAATTATTATTATTATTATTAATGGCTTTATTCTATATTATAATCTGGTACAATATAGAATTCTCAGCACGAGTTATTTCAACAAGTTTTTTCCCAAAAAAATAAAACCAAAAAAAAACAGAAATAAAATATAAAAAAGGTTTAAGAAAATCTGAGTTTATACAAACTATCGAATATGAGACATGCTTAAGAAGACACGTTATTTACCGGTCAAGAGACTGGTCAAGAGAAACGGAGACTATAGGCCCCGGCTGCTGAAGATAACATTCCCCTCCTCCCACATGGTGGCTGCAACTCTGGAAGCATTTCGTGCCAATGGACGTCGGTTGCCAACTGGCATCCATATGCATCCGGATAGGCCCCACGACAGCAGGATCAAGCACAAACGAAAGCTGGAGCTGACAATTCCACTCGTGGACTGTCTTGATCATAAAAAAACGTGTAAAGAACAGGGACTAACAACTCAGTAAACATCGTATAGGTAGGCTACCTGTCCACTCACACACGGCTCATATAGACAAACAAGAAGAGGCTCACGCGTTCCAAATTGAAAGCATAAACTGCCTATACACGAACGCCGCGAGCTTGTCAAACAAAATGGATGAGCTACGTGAACTTAGCAACGCTAATGATGCCCATCTGATAGGAATATCCGAAACTTGGATAACGTCTCAGTTTACGGACCAAGAGTTAGCAATAACTGGGATGTCTTTATTTCGCAACGACAGAAAAACAGGAATGGGGGGTGGGGTAGCAATATACATACGGTCAAGCCTGGATGCGCACCAACTTCACAACCAAGAGTTTCTCAATCTTGACGAGTCAGTATGGTGCTCAGTAAGATTGTCTACCACCTCGAGGTGTCTAGTTGGGGTCATTTACGGGAAGCCCACTGCAGACATCGAGTACGACAAACGTCAGTTGTATGTTGGAACGCAACCTCCATAAAGTGCGCCAAGTGTGATATTGACATGTTTCTTACGAAATCCATTTACATTCATATCTTATGAAATATCAACCTAGCTGAGTAATTTTCAACAGTGAAAATTGTAACTTCTTTATCAATTTGATCTTGCCTGTAAACCGGCATGCCTCACGCAACAATCTGTTATTTGAGGATTACCGCGTCTCGGATTCTCTCATATCCTGATTCTAGGGGACTTCAATCTTCCTAGAATCAACTTCGTGGAACATGCATACATTGGTGGTGCCAACTCTACTGAAGCTCTGTTCTTCAACCTTATCGGCGACCTGGGATTATTTGAAAATGTGAAGTCGGCAACCCGTTGGAGAAACAGTCAAACGCCGTCGCGCTTAGACTGGGTATTCACAAATGAAGAATTCGTAATTGACGACCTATCAATCCTGGCTTCCCTGGGGAAAAGTGATCACGCCGTCTTATCATTCAGCTTTGTCAGCAAAACGTAGCTACGATATCCTACTAGCAACAAGCACTGGAACTTCAAACGGTTGAATGTGTTAGCTTTACAGGACTATCTACAACAGGTGGATTGGGATATTTACCCTCAAATTGAAGTGGATGCTCATTGGGATTTTTTACTGCACACGATCTTATGTGCTACTGAGCATTCAGTTCCTAAAATGGTCCCAAAAAGCTACAAACAACCTCCAATCATCAAGAACCGCACTCGTCGTTTGCTAAGCCGCAAAAGGCACTGTTGGGTCGAATAAAAACGAACCGACAATAACGACGCATACAAGCAATATAAACGCATAAGGAACATATGTTCAAAGGCAATAAGAGAAGACAGGCTTCAGCTCCAGACCAAAATTCGTCTCCAATCCGAAAACGCTTGTTCAGTTACGCAGCTTCTCTTCGACAAGGCGAAACTGGAGTTTCCCAACTGCTTGGTCCTAATGGCCCGACCAATAACGACAGTGATGCCGCTAACCGTTTGGCTGAATAAAACTCCCGGACATTTCAGCTGTCCCACATCAACCATACTGACGAAAGCTTCACCTGCATCTGTACAGGACTTTCCGAAGTGGACCTGAGTGCTGACTTGGTGCTCCGTAAACTGCAGCACCTAAGAAAAGACACTTCTCCTGGTCCAGACATGGTTCATTCCGCTGTATTGAGGGAAGCAGCTCCAATCCTGGCGACACCATTTAGCGTGATGCTTGCACACTCGCTAAGCAGAGGCAAACTACCGGAAATATGGAAGCTGGCCCACATCACACCAATTTTCAAAGGAGGTCGACGCAGTGAACCCTCAAGCTACCGACCAGTGGCCCTTCTCTCCACACCTTCAAAAATTATGGAATCCGTAGTATTCGACGACATACTAGAACACTTATCATCCTCAAAGTTCTTCTCGCCTCAACAGCATGGTTTCAGAAAAGGTCATTCTTGTATGACTAACCTGCTGACTGCGGTGGATAGATGGACAACCATCCTTGATCGCAAGGGGAAGGTTGACGTCATCTACCCGGACTTCTCAAAAGCTTTTGATAGGGTCAACCATGCATGTCTTATCAAGAAGCTTGGACGATTGGGTATAAAACCCCCTTTAATTGACTGGCTCACTTCATACCTAGAAAACCGACATTTTAAGGTCAGGGTTAACTTCACTCTCTCTCAGGCTATGGAATGTCCTAGCGGGGTCCCCCAGGGTTCAATACTAGGACCTCTTCTCTTCTTGATTTATATTAACGATCTTCCTCAACAAGTTTCATCTGACTTATTGCTTTTTGCTGATGATGTGAAACTTTGGAGAGAGATACGTAATCATAATGATATACTAGTTCTTCAGGAGGATCTGACTCGACTTCAAAGTTGGGCAGACGACAACAGACTTACCTTCAACACTTCAAAGTGCAAGGTAGTCCATCTGAGTTTACGGATCAGGAACTGTGACGAAAACGCCTCTCAAGCAAACCTTGCACTGGTAACATTGAAGCGCATTTTTGGCCAGTTTGACGGTAGAACCTTCCACATAATCTTCAACAGTTTTATTCGTCCCCACTTAGAGTACGGAAACATAGTATTTCCTCCCTCCCTCCAGAAGGATAAGGACACTCTAGAACGTATCCAACGTCGAGCCACGAAATTAGTTCGGGGACTCAAATTCAAACCTTATGAAGAGCGCCTCAAATCACTTAACCTTTACCCGTTAGAGTACAGGCGTCTTAGAGGTGATCTTCTTATGACTTATAGTATCCTTAATACTTCTGGTCATCCCCTTAAACTTCTTCTTAAGATTAGTCATAACACTAACCTAAGAGGTATCACCCAGAAATTGGAGACCCTACATAGTAGAACAGACTGCAGACACAACTTCTACTCCGTTAGAGTTGTCAAGTGCTGAAATTTGCTGTCGATTGAGCTAGTTCAAGCGACCTCCCAGGAGTCCTTTAAGAGGAAACTTGACTTATTCTTAGGGACTAAGGGTAACATATTATTATGATTTACCAAATTCTTTTTTTCCTCTATTATCGTTCATATACCTAGGTTTTTCCCTGGAGGTATTGGTGATCCACTGCTACCAG